GCTCATCGTTTTATCCAATTCGATAATCGTCGCTAACGCGTAAGGGACCATAGATCTTTTGAAGAATTTTTTTCTCGAATGTCCCTTACACTACACACTAATCTTGACAGGTTTTTAAATATCAAAGAAGTTTAAAGATCACTCATACACCATTTTGTTGATATGTAACAGAAAACCATGTTCATAACTTATACACTACCAAACCATATTTAAGGTATTCTTTTATAGTGTTCTTTTATGAATGCTGGTAAATTGAGATTATGTAAAACTAAACTAAACTTCTATATACTGTAAAATATAAATATTTTGCAAATTGAAATGGAAATAAAATGGAATGGTTTAGTAAATTATATAATAGACTCACAATAAGAATATTTAACATAATTAAAAAGAATTGTAGCTTCGATAAAGCCATTCAAATTTCTCTTTTGATATTAAAATTTTTATTAAAATTTATTAAGCAAAGTAATTATTTTATTTTAATATCTCCATTTTATCATTAACACAATATTTGAGTGCATATCGAATAATGGTTTTTAAATTACACAAAATACTCATTGGTTTCCCATAAAATACATTTTTTCGCAATTTAATTAAAATAAAAGCCGTAATCATGTCAGCAAATATTGCAGTTCCATGTAACCAAAGAAGGAATTCAGTAATTACGCCCGCAAGAGATAATTAATTGGCTGACAACTTACACGAAAAACTGAATTGGATTAATATGGAGAGGAAAACGCTTTAAATTTCATTCGGAAGTATTTAAAAAATAGCTTTTATTCGAATGACAGAAAATATGGATTAAATATCTGAATAACATTCACTGAAGCATCCACTAAATATGCTCATAGGCTTACATTTTTATATGTACGAAATTTATTAATTTATATTAGATTAATATATATCTATATAATGTAAGAAATAGTTATCTTATTTAAATAATAAAGAAATATATCAATATTTATATAAAAAAAATATAAAAATAAACTTAATCCCATACATTTATGAAATATTGAAGTTTTAAAAAAAATAAATAATTATTAATAGCCCATGAATGCGCAAATCTATTGTACGCCTTAAGATCTATTGTGATTTGGTACTAAGATCCCGCTTCCAAAGTAGTCGAGTCTTTGTCTTGCCGCCACTAGGTGGGTGCATAGGATATGTTCTGATGTTTTCTTCTCCTCATGACAGAGTCGACAGGGTCGATAGTAAGTGATTACTACCGCACCTATAGTCTTCATGTGGTAATTAACTCTACAGTGTCCTGTAAGAAGTTCAGTGTAAATTTTAATATCGTTTCTGCAAAATTTAAGGATATCGTCAACTTTAATGTGTTCAGGATCAGTGAATCTTTTTGACTGCTGCATGCCTGTTTGGGCTTTCCAGTGTTCAAGTACATTTTCTTTCTCCCGTTCACATAATAAATTAATTGTGAAGATAACTATTTGTTATCCCGCAGATGGGCTCTGCACCAATGAAAAGAGTACGTGCACCCTTCTTTCCTAGGGAGCCTGCAATTTTATTGCCCTCATGCTATTCATGTCCCGGTACCCACACAAAAGTAACATAGTTTCTTAATGCTAGGGTATTGAGAAGTTGAAAGCATTCCCAGACCAACTTTGATTGGGTTTGCTAAAGATTTTAGAGCTGCTTGGCTGTCCGAAAGAATTAAAATTAATTAAATTAAAATTAAAAAAATTAAAATTAATTATTCTTTAACTCGACTTCTTAGATTTTTGTGTTATGCATGTTCATTTTTTCGCAATAAAGTAATTCTACTGATGAGACTTAAATTTTATTAGCTGAATATGTCAACTACCGAAATTTTTGCATCTGTGGTAATAAGAACCTACGACTAACTATAAGAAACCAATAACATTCATAAAAAGTTATTGCATGATATTTGGTACATTTCAATTGGAGGTGTAAATCGTCTTTTATAATTTAAAAACGACGATAACTTGACTGAAACTGTTGATTCTGATTATGACAATCACAGGAATACCAATTTTTTGAAGCTTAATATAAGAAGATATAGCTCAATACACCTATAACAATACATTGTACTTCTACTTGGTCACTCTCGATCAAGTGAAGAATTTTCCAAGCCATTTCTTATATTTTAGCGACAATATTCTTGCATTTTTGTATTGTCGTTGAGATTCATATCACTTACATTAAACTAGACCACATAAACAATATTTCTGAACCAAAACATTTTCCATTTGGTTTGAATATCTATGGCCTTTAAACCTGTTTTAAAGTTTAGTAACTACACAAGGTCCATTCTTTTTAATTGCTACAAAGTACACTGGCACATCAACTTTGAACTGTTTGTACACAAAGAATCAGTAGATAGATAGTGATAAGTGTGATAGCTATAGGTTAACTAAAAGAACTAAAATAAGTTAGTTATTATTACATGTACTAAGAATCAACATTTTACAAAAAAGTGATATTGCTTTTAACTCTTTTTCATGCTGCATTTGTTCTAGATGTACAGGGAATGGAAATTTGGATATTATTTATTTTAATACAATTTTGAACTGATTTTATAAAAATAAATAGGATTTTTATTCAAAAATTCCCTCAATTTTCTGCAAATAATTATTTCACACATATTTTTTCCATTAATTTATTATTTCTGGAGTTTGCGGTTCACTTAATTGTAGTGAATAAAATCATTAAGTATTTGTAAAACATGCCCTTCATCCATGCGCAATTTATCATTTTTTTGTATCGACTTGCGTGACTGTACTCTGTACTATGTTAGGCTCATAAAATATGTTCATAAATTTAAAAAAAATTATTTCTATTTATATTACATTATTTTAATGTTTTAATTTTGAAATGATTAAAAAGTTATTTATTACAAATTTTGATTAGATCAAAGATAGCATGGATACATGCTCGCCTTTAAAAATATGAAAGTATATTAAATTGATTTTTCCAAAATTTATGCACTTCATATACTCACATATTCGAACATATTTCATATAAATATTGTCGCATATGTAAATTATTGATAAATTTATAAAAAAAAACGCTTAAAGTAAAAAATATGAGAATAAATCAATATTGAAATTTAAGTTTAATGGGGCGTATGAGTCACATTTTGTTACATCTGTTACTTCAGCTGATTTAGTGACAGATACAATAATTTTGATCATTACTGTCAATGAAACCGAATAAGCTGTTGCCCCACTGGTATTATTTTGTTATTTTATTATTTAATATTTCATTATTTTTATTATTTGCTAACAATATTTAAAATCTAATTTAATCATATTTATATTTGTGAAGCGATTCGTATAATTTTTAGTGGTTTGTGATTATTTATCATAATAACTAATTAGCAAAGCGACACAAAATACAAATAAATGAACAGGAAATTTATGAATATATTATATGTTTAAATATACTATTTAATATTTTATTATTTTTATTATTTACCAAAAATATTTCAAATATAATTTAATCATACTCATATATATATTTGTGAAGTGACTCGCATAATCTTTCGTGATTTGTGCTTATTTACTATAATAAATAATTTGACACAAAACATAAATAAATGAACAGGGAATTTAATATTTTTTGCATATGTATTAACAATAATAATATAGCGACGAGAACTTAATACCATCATTGATTATTATATCTCCATTACCACTCAACGTGTCTGTCGAAAGAGTACGCTTTAAAGCACTAAAAATTAAAACTTAAATAAATTATAAACATACTATTCGCATTATAGAATTTTATATTATGATAAAGCTAGATCGACTATACTAATATACCAATAATAAACATATTTTACTTTTTTATGGTCTTACTTTGCATTGCGCCCAAACTAAATCCAGCTGCTTATATATACATATTTTTTTAGTTGGAAAAATTGATTGTAATTTATTAAAAACTTTTGCCAATATTCTGCTCAATAATAATAAAAATAGAAATAATATATTAATATCATGCAATATTCTTAGTAATTTCTAGAGCTTCACAAGCACTGATATTCCATTCTTCTAAGTTAATTTAATTACTAATAGTAAGTATTCAGGTAGATTGCTTTCAAATAATCCCTTAAGCTTCATCCAAAAATACACCGAAGTTGATAAAACCTATAACGAACTACGGCATTTAGCCAGAGGCAGAGACAACTGGAGATTCTATGTAAATTGTCTATGTTCCTGATGGAATACGGCTTATATATAGATTTATCTCTATATATATATATATATAAAGGTAAAAAATTTATAGATTTGAAAGATAAAAGAGGAAAAGATTTCTTTGAAGACGTCAAAGAATTAATAAAGGAATCTTCCAATTTACGAACAGATGACAGAAATAAAAAAGATAACTAAGAAATGATTTTTTATTTATTATATATGTTGTTTTTATATACATGCATATAACATCAATAATAACTTACTCAAAAGTTGAATAACTTCAATTACAACAATAATTTTATCAAGAAATAATAATCCATCTATGACGTTTCCAGTAAAAAGCTATTGTGAATGTCATAACGTCACAGCTGTGACATAAACACAAAAGACACAGAGTTTTAACAAAAACTGTTGTCAGTATCTAGACACTAATTTTTGTTCACAATGACAGTTCCCACTTTGTGGTAAGGAGCACGAGATAACCAATTAACTTGGTATAAAGTAATTACCCATTCTTTTGATGCTATATTATTTTTATTCATAAAAATTATAATAAAAAAATGTCTGCCATGAAGGACGAACATAAACAATTACCAAAGTTCAGACAAAGCTAAAAAAATTGTCACCACAAACATGTTTCGCAATTTCATGACACGCAGATAAATCAGCAAACCGAAAAAAAAATTTTAAGTTCTGAAAAGCACAACGGTTAATTATAAATACTTAACAGCCAAATTTTAATTAAAGCAAAAACTTTTTGCCTTTGTTCAAGTTCAAAAACTCTCATTAACAATTTGATAAGCAATTATAATTTTGTTCTTAAAGGGATTTTCTAACTGAATGCCTATTCCCATCACCGACTCGGCCATACGAATTGCCATGGGAACAGAAAACCATTTGGGCGATTATATTTGGGTTAATGCTCTTCGTAGCCATTGCCGGAAATTGCATTGTGTTATGGATTGTAACAGGTAATTTTATACTAATAATTAATTATACACTAATTTATTGATTATTTTTAATTATTATTAAAGGAAAAAATAATTTTTAAATATGTATTGTTGTAAGCTTTATAATTTCTAATAAATAAGCTTTAGAATTATTTATTTGAAATATAATAAATCTTTAATAAATAAGAATTTTTTATAATTGAAGACAGAAAGTGATTAGCCAATGAAAAGCCAATGTATGAGCGTTATGTGCCATTTAAGATAAACATATATTATGTATATATACATATATATAATATAATGTTCATAATATATAATTTAGCATATTTATATTACGCACATAAAATATAAAAATATAATATTCATGACAAAAGAAATATTTTATCCACAAACACTTCAAAAAACCGACTAATATTATTTTTTCTTTTTCCGAATATCACTGAGAGTTTTTTTATTTTTATAACATTTTTTTAATTATTGACAGGCTTTGAGTTTATGTAATATCTCTACCATAAGCTTAAAACTAACATAACGAATATCTCTCAATTTAGGTCACCGTAGTATGCGCACCGTCACGAACTACTTCCTGCTAAACTTGAGCATTGCTGATCTCTTAATGTCCGCACTCAATTGCATATTCAATTTCATCTTCATGTTGAACTCGGATTGGCCTTTTGGGTCCATTTATTGCACCATTAATAATTTTATGGCAAATGTTACGGTTTCTACTTCGGTTTTTACACTGGTGGCGATATCCTTTGATAGGTAAGTGTATTTTGTTAAATGTACATTTCTTTTCAAGAAAATTTTTCAATCTCGTTTTTTATGAAATATCTATTATGCTATTTTATATTTATATTCTACATTTTGCATATATTTCTATGTATTAGATACATTGCAATTGTGCATCCCTTGAAGAGACGAACTTCACGACGCAAGGTGCGTTTCATTTTAGTGCTCATTTGGGTACTGAGTTGTGTTCTTGCTGCACCCTGTTTAATGTACTCCAGTATTTTGACAAAAAGGTAAGATTAGAAATATATCATATCGTATTGTTATATTAACTTGTTATCACTAACAAATTTTCTCATAAATGACACTAATAGTCTGTGATCAAAACAAAAGCACTCAATCATTATTGATGATAGGTATTTGGCCAAAAATTCAATTAATTAAAAATAATACAATTTTGTTGTTGCAATTCAATAATATTTGAAAAAATTTCTATGTTAAAAAAACAGTTTTAAACAGTTTTTTATAAAGAAGATAGCTTAATATAAATTCTTTAAGCAATAGCAAAACGTTTTAATTTTGTATTGAAACTAAAAATGAAAACGTCAGTGCAACAAACGTCAGAAAACATCAATCAATCAAACCATTCAAACCATTTTAATAAATGGAGTAGTACCACAATCACAAATCGAGTTTGTACTAATAGATAATTACACCCATATAATTATAATTACACCCAAGCGTGTTCATCATAGGGACGTATTTCAACCAAAGTCAATTGAGCATTCAGCTAATTAGTATACATCTTTTGATTTGTTTAAATTGCTTTTTAGACTTTATCGTTCCACCTACTTAAATATGGTTATTCATATATGTATGTACAAATAAATGTATGTTTGTATAAAAAAAGTTTTTAAATTTAAATTAGTTAAAAATTGGTTGAAATTTGGTTGATAACCAAATAGTAAGTTCGACTTAAAGTATTTCTCAACGAAAGTTTTGTATTTTTATAATATAATTATATTTGTATAATTATCCCCATCCATAACTCTTAAAATTTGTTTAAAAATCATTTAAGCACTCTCTGACTCAATTATGTCCAACGTCATCTGGTGCGAAATTCATAAAGCCAGCAGCAATATGTAAAGCTGACTCAACACCAGTGAAATTTGGTTCTAAGTCTTCAAACGTTTTCAATACAATAACATTCAAATCCAAATATGTTCCCCCATAATGATACAGCGTCAAAAATTGCAAGAAATCTAATATACAAGGTACCGCATACCTGAAGAAGAGATTTTAAATAAGTAACTGCTTTCAGTTACTTATGTAGTAAAAACTAATGTGCTTACTTGGATTTGAATATATCTCATCGAAGAAACCACTCATGTACAGGCGTATGGACAGTAGAGGTTAACAAGTTTACTTTTCGCAAAAATACGTTTGAGGATGAGAGTAATGCTTTAATTAAAGGATGATACAGTGTTTGGCTAGTTCGGTATACTTCAATAACAAATAAAACAAAAATATTTAAAATTGGTTTATGAAGTGCGGCATAATCTTTCATATCTTTATTTTGAGAAAATTTAATATATAATAAATTAAATATGATTATTGCCTAATTAAAAGGCAATATTTTATCTGATATGAGATTTTAAGTGCTTTTATAAAATGGAATAAATCCACCGATTTTTATTTTCTAAATGTTATCATTTTCACAATCTTGTCATCACGTGTAACGTGATATTTGTCATAATATTATGATCGCCGTACTTTAGTAAGACTTAGTAAGGCTACTACTAGTAAGATTACTCATCGAGTGTAGTAAATATAAATATATGCTGAATCATTGTTGCAATTGCAATATTGAACATTAATGACTCACAAAGTCGAATGATATATAACAAATATGATAAGATAACATGGTCTTTTTGAATGTGATTTCTATATGTTGAAAAACGTTAAGTCCACTCTATTAAACATCGATTGAAACTCTAATGGCGTTTTCGAATGGTATATACAATATACCATGGTATGGATTCAATACAAATCTAGAATATCGGGTATTATAGATTTAGCCCCAAACTTACCAAACGAAAATTAAAATTGCAATAAAGGAGCATCTCTATTGAAAAAATTACCCGATCTACCAATCGAAAGTCCCAAAAGACTGATATAGAAAACATTAATAATCCAGTTTGACTTTCCTTCTTTATTGAGTTCGACTCAATGCTAAAGGTTTATGCTAAAGAATTATCAGAAAGTATTACAATATTTTTATGAACCTTTTACTTAAGTAATAGTGAAATAATTTTCCAAGTATGATAGTTAGTTGGGAATTAAATTGTATGATATTATTATTATAAGAGAAGATTGTGTATTAGCGGTTGCTAGAATTTAGAACAATAAAAAACGGTTATATGAAAGACTCAGCTATTCAATTGTTTATCGGGATTTAGTTTAAAGCAATATAAAAGTGTTATATACAATAAGAGTCAGCTATTTAATTGTTTATCGACTGACTACGCCGCAATCTATGTATGCAATTTTAAATATATATTAAAAACTTAGCAGTATATAATATTACTAATATAATATTATATATAATATTTAATATATATATATTATATATATTATATAATATAATATATATATATAAATATTATATATATAATATTTAATATATATATATATAATATATATATAAATACATATATAATACATATATAATATATATATTAAATATTATATATAATATTATATTACCAATATTATATACTGCTAAGTTTTTAATATATATTTAAAATTGCATACATAAATTGCGGCGTAGTCGGTCGATAAACAATTAAATAATTACAATTTAGAGAACTCAAAGACAAGAAAACATTTATTTCAAAACTAAATTAATATTTCTTAATGAATATTTCTAAATGAATATGTACGAATGTGTTATTCAGACATTTGTATTTTGTTTGAAGGAATTAACTTAAAATATTTATCACCCAAAAAAGAATTTACAAATGTTTACATACCTGAGTAATAATGTTACTTTGTAATATAATTCTATAAAAGGTAATATTATTTCATATATAATAATAAATATTGCTAAAAATTCAATTTGAGTGCCTTAAATAGAATTAAAAAATTTCTTTGAGTTCCTATGAAAAATAATTCAATAAAATACGATTTGTTAACAGAAAAAGATACATAAGCCCTTCTAAAAATCTTCTAAGAATTTATTTTTTTAAAAATTATAAAATTGTGAGTTGAACGTGTAATTGGAAATGTGTTAATAATATAAAATATCCGCATTACTTGTTAAAAAAAATTTATAAATTATTCTACATAAAGAAACATAATATCATAGACTTCTAAATAATTTCTCAGAATTTAAGTCAATGAAAATATTAAAATTTCTCCTAATGAAGAGGCAACACGTGTCACAAAATAACAGATTTATTATTTTTAAACAACAAATGTGTATTATATTAATTTATGTTTTTTATATATATATATATATATATATTGTTAGTACACTGAACTAATATCAAATGTTTAAAAAATTTTTATCAATATTTAAACATACAATTTATTAAAATCAGACAATAATGTAAACTTAAAATTATTCAATGTAATATGTACGATATTAGTTTCCAGAGTAATTTTGATTGCATTTCTAACAAATTTTCCAATGACATTACAATTAGAAGATTCATCATAAACATGGGTACATTTGAATAAATATCAGTCATCATTAGCACTATCAATACAGTAGCTTTTGTGGCAATCACTTAATTAGCAATTTATGACATACAACCAAAAATTGATATCATTAACTTTGCCACATTGTAGGAGCTGATGTAGAAGGCAATGTTTGTATTGCATTTCTGAAGTAATAAGGTTTATAATTTCAAAAATATTTTCCATTAATTAAAATTTTCAGTATTTGCATTATCAAATATGTGAACACTATTTGTGGCTACTTAATTAATTTTAGACCTGCAAGGCCACAATGGAACACACCTATAGCATATTTGCCAGTGAAGCTGCTTTTACACCGTTTATTAAATATCAAATGAAATTCCAATATCTGTGATTCGGTTGGAATAGACAGCTTACTATTCATTTTAATGAATTGAGTATATACAACCAAACTTCCGTAGTACATACGACAGCATTATTGTTAAAGCAAATTTTTCAACACATAGTTTTTCATATTAATTATTAAGTTGAACTCAATCAGCTCTCAACTCAACCCTCAAATCAAACTACATTAAGAAGTGTAAGAGAAAGGAATATCATTGAAAATCCTTATTTCTATGTTCACCTTACTACATAAACTTTCTACGTTGTTGATATATCTTTCCCACAGCGTCACCAAATCAAGCAACAGTTAATAAAATCATATTCAATCGTTCTCATGATACTTAAATTTACTATGAAAAGGTTACGAAATTTGCTAAATTACTAAATAGACCATAACGAAGAAATACTTCTCTTATAATTAACGGGTATGACAAACGGATTTCTTATTTCTTCCAATTGCAAAGCAAGAAAATCTGATTTTTTTGCAATTTATTCCTGCAAAATTTGCACTTTATTCGATTCGACCTTTCAAAAGTTAAAACGATCATACAGATCTACATACTTTCAACCCACAGTCTTAAAGATATTTTAAAAGCTGCTCGTTAAACGCCGTAACAAAATAATAGAATAGTTTGTTCTTAAAAATGAAAACCCTGTACCTCGATGATCTACCAAATTTATTGAATGCAGCATTTAATAGAAAAAATTATTTAAAGGAAAATGTTCTGCTGTTGTTTTTGATGCTGCAAATACATTTGACGAAATCTGTCATACCCCTCAACTCATAAATCTCAAATCATAACACACCTAATAATAGTGGTACGTGCCAGATCGACACTTCCACATTAAACAGAATAACTCTTAATCAAGTTTCAGTAAAATAAGATTCGAGGTACCGACATTACTTGAGTACTTTGCTATTCACTAGTAATCTTGGATCTTGGATAACTATCACTGTTATTATCACAGTTATACTTTATAAACCTTATTGTAGTATATTTACATTCACAGACGAATGCAGTGCTTGCTGTTGGTAAAACCAAAAAGGATTCATCAAGTAAACTTCAGGCTCTGTTACACACATATCTCTCATTAGACAAAGAGATTACATATGAACTTTAAATTCAAAAATTTATAATCAACCAATTTTTATTAATAGTACAGTCTTCCGTACTCATATTCCCACAAAATCTTGGGAATGACACTCGGTTCTAATCTTTGAACATGTCGGAAAGAAGAATGAACTTGATAATTATCCAAAAAACATGATATGACTAACAAGTAACAAACCAGTTTTACGTATTATAATTTATAAATTATTAAAACTTATATGGACCTATAAACTATGTTGAATACATGCCAACTAAAATACAAAAAGAGGCAAGTCCGGCACTTATAGTTCATAAGATTATAATCGAACGAATAAATACGTTATGTCTAAAGAGCACTGATTTTGGGTATTTGGCAATACTAGAAAGAACTCTATTCAATTAATTATAAGTACAAATTTTTGTTTAGTTATAGATTTAAAAATGTTTTTCATCATCATTAACTTTAAAACAAAATTATCCAATACAATCCAATCATTATAAAATAAGGATCTTAAGTGTGTTGCATTATAGAAGTGTCGACATTAAGTTCGAACTTTAAAAGATTTCTTTAAATAGTTAAATAAGAAAATTTAAAGCGACCTGTATATAAAAGCTTTAGATCTTATTAAAGAAGGGGCGTCTATTGTAGCTCAAACTGATGGACTATTATGACGACTTTAATGAATTGAACGCAGCAATTTTAGACCTTCATAAAGAAATGTGTTATACCTAAATTGCTCGTTTGTCATCAGCTTATCACAATAAAAATATTTATAAGCAATAAAAATCTGTTTATAAATCTAATATCAACTCGTGTGGTTTGTTATCATATCTAACTTTCAGACATGATTTCAAAAAACAGAACTGTAATAAACTCTAATATAATCAGATACTTACTATTAATATGCTTAACTCATATACCACAAATCAAAACTAAACTAAAATTTTCAAAACTTTTTCAAACCAACTATTTAATAATAGAAAAAAGCATGCAATTTATTCGTTTTTAAATTCAAAAATTCCTATATAATTCACTCCAGCTAAGTGAAATAATCAAATATCTAATAAGCTCAACTTAAGTAAATGTTTGTAATTTTTAGAAAATAAATTTATGCTAATAATATGCATGTAATTCCTAATCGGACTTAAGGCCAATTCGAAAAACAGTTTGAAATTAGTTAGTGCCACTGCTGTTTGAAATTTTATGCAGAAGATAAATATTTTATATTCATATTTTTAAAAACTTAATCATATTTTCTATTTCAGATACTACAATGGAAAGTCTCGCACAGTTTGCTTTATGATGTGGCCAGATGGACGATACCCCACATCCATGGCTGATTATGTGTAAGTTGAATTTTATTATATTTTACAAGTCATACTGCATCAGAATTTCTAAGACTATTATTATTAGTTTATATGAAAAGCGTATAAATAGCTTTGAGGATGCACTGTGAACTTACAGAAACAGTGTAGTACAATAACAGAATTATATTATTACTGCTCTGTTATTTTTAATGACACAATTCTACTAACAATAGAAATTGAGTTAAAAGCACAACATGAAGGATATAAGCATATTGAAACTGTAATAATATAAGATACTTACACAGTATTTACCATTACTTGAAAGAATCACATATCTAAGTTAAAGTTATATGGAACTTATAGCGTCCGCTTGTAGTCGTGGCACTGTTGTTATCTCAAGTGCACACGAAATATATCTACAAAATTATATCCAACTCTAACGTATTTTAAAAAAATTTTTCAAATTTTTGTTATTCATTTAAAAGATTTAACGACGTTTTTATACTTTAGACAGTACGTTCTGGCTTAAACTATAAACATAGACAGCACTGCGATAAAATTCTTGAACCTAAAGCAACATAATATTATGTTGATTTTTTTGTCAAAAGTGACGTGTCTAATGACGAAAAGAAACTATTTTAAAGTTAGAAGGGTTCGATTTGAAATGAAAAGACAACAACAAAAATTTTAATATGACATAAGTATGATATAATATATTTGTGTATATTATCACAAATATATTCACATCATACTACATTCTATAATCATTTTGGCGAGGAAGCTAAACACATTCTTGAGACGGATATTGATTATTTAAAAGAAGTGGATAAAAATCCTAATGTGACAAACGTTAAGTTTATAAAGCAATTAGTAAAAAAATGCATAATACGTAAGCTGCCTTTTAAGTCTTGCGCCTGGACAACAATGAGTATAGCCAGACCAATTTCAACATTTCTGTTCGAAAGTTTCACAATTCCTAGGATGAAATGCACTTCAACGTTGTTTTAATTTCCGCGACCTTATTATCTTGTTTACATTGATACTAAATTCTGCCTCTGTCAAATAATTAAATTACATAAAAAACATTTTGGTGCGATGAGTTTTTATGATTTTCGACGCTAATTAATCATAAAAGAATGTATCGATCAACTTACTTCATCACATCCAGCGACTGTAAAACGCTCATTCAACCAGTTCGAACGAGTTCCTCCCTATGAAAAATTTTGTGAGCGTCGTCCAAGAACGGCTGTTGTAGCAGAAAACATCGGTGCAGTGCGAGATATGATTGAGATGGATCGGCATGTAATATACCGATAGATGGAGGTATCTATGGGCATGAATAGGATCAGCATACTTTCAATTTTACATATACATTTAACTATTCGAATAATTTGTGCCCGGTGGCTTCCCCATAATTTGACAATTGTTCAAAAGAAGGTGCGAGTTGATTGGTGCAAGGAAATACTGAAAAATACGACCGAAGTATGGTAGCTCAAAACACGTCTACAGCATTGTGATAGGTAACGAATCATGGATCTACGTCTATATGCCCAAAACAAAATAGTAATGAACAGTTTGGGTCTTCCAAAGTAAGCAGAATCCATCAAAAGTTATTAGCAGAAGGAACAAATGGTCGTATGTTTTTTCAGAAAACCAGTCATGTCGCAACTGTGCCACTTGAATAACATAAAACGAATAGTCCAAATGAGTTTAGATGAACTACAACGATCAAATTTTTTGCAATTCTTCACCGGTACGTTCAAAACAGAATTTTTTATGTTGATTTCAAATGATTCAAATTAATTGATATAAAAAAACTTATATATTGATTAAGTGATCAAAAATATAAAGAAATCGCATTAACTGTAGTGTCCTTTAGGATGGTTTGGGTTAGTAGGTAATTTGCCAGTCTTTACAAAAACATTTGTTGAAAACATATAACATAACTAAAGGACACAATTTTAAAAGGGTTCTGAAGCTACTTAGATCGCTATAGCTATTTAACGTAACTGATAAATCACAATAAATATGAAATTGTCAGGTTGACAATTATAAATGCAAGTATATTCTTAGCTCAATAGAGCTATATTTAACTGCAAAACTTTTGAATTATTTTATTTATACATCATTAGCTTTCATTAATATTAATTTAAATATCAAACTTTGTACTTAAATACTATATACTTTATACTTAAACTATAACCTTTATTTATTATTGTAGCTACAATATCATCATTCTCGTCCTCACCTATGGCATACCAATGATTGTAATGTTAATATGTTATTTCCTTATGGGACGTGTATTATGGGGCAGTCGCTCTATTGGTGAGAATACCGATCGCCAAATTGAATCGATGAAATCAAAACGAAAAGTCGTTCGTATGTTTATCGCTATTGTATCCATATTCGCCATTTGCTGGTTACCGTATCACATGTTTTTCATTTACTCATATCACAATAATCAATTAACAACGACAAAGTACGTGCAACATATGTACTTAGGTTTCTATTGGCTGGCCATGTCAAATGCAATGGTCAATCCAATTATATACTACTGGATGAATAAGAGGTAGGTCCAACAGTTCACTTACGCGTTAGCACAAATTTTGACTACTGCATTTTGTAGGTTTCGAATGTATTTTCAAAAGATAATTTGCTGTTATTGCTTCGGTACCGCAGTGCTTAAATCAAGCTCCCCTACGGCATGCACAAACAAAAACAGTTCACAAAGATTGGCAAAAGGTATATGTATATATGCGCTATAATTCATATATCAACAAAATTTTATTGCTCAATCCTTTGATTACGTGAAATGTTTGTTCATCACCAAATATTTTAATACGAAATTCTGTTTATTTGCAGCTGAAAGCAAGAGCCTTTGGAAACGCAGCACGATGGAAACGCAAATTCAAATACAGCCAACGTCGTCTATACGCGACAAGCAGTCAACACATACTTCTCTCATGAAAAAGATATCGAAGGAGTGCATCATCGAAAAACCACAGCACGACAGTGGCTCACCAGTGTATCTGTCGATAAACGAGGGCAACGACAAACAACGCATCAAAATAAAATACATCTCCTGCGATGAGGACAATAACTCTCTAAGCAAAATATCCCATCAGTTGAAAAACGAAAAGCTGTGATGATCCAATAAATTCGATTAATGGTACGATTTTTAACTTGTATACATAAACATAAGATACACAAGATATTAATATTAGATTACAAAAACCACACATCGATATAAATACATATAAAATACATTTATGACAGAATTATTTTACATGTACAGAAATTATGTTTATAATTAAAATATAAGGTTATTTTTAAAAAAAATTATGCGTTATGAAAAGGTATTCATTTAAGTGTTTCGAGACTCGAAATATGTGAAATTAATCTGTTATATTTAACTCAAGAATCAAATTTATTTATATACATTTTTTTTATGGTTTGTTCTTACTCGTAAGTTGTTAATATTAATATAAAAATTTACATTTCAATTTTAATAGCAAATAATAAATTTGAATTGTTTGTGTATATATAAGTATATAGTACTTAAGAAAAAAATTGTAAATATAAAAATAAAAATTAATGTATATACATTTTAAAGAATAATATGGTGTTGACTAGTTTTATTTATTTAGAGTAAAGTGTTATATATATATAGATCACTGAAACTATTTCAGAAAACTTTTCTCAGTTGTCTTTACCACTAAATGTATTGAATGGATAAGCATTTTCTATAAGTTTTCTGTTAAAAATTAAGGGAATACATATCTTCTGTACATGTTCAGCACCGATTGACTGAATTGTTGGAAAACGTTACACCTGAGTTATAATGCTCCAGCCCATGCAAAGCGACTTTTTTAATATTTTCTTTAAATTTATTTTTCATTTCACTGTTTTTTTTTATCAATTTAGAATCTTTAAAACAAATTAACAAAATAAAATTTATTGTTTTACCAATACAGAAATGCAGCAGATAGTTTTAATTTATTTTACAAAAAGTAATACCCCAAGTCCATGGTCTATTCATTTATTATTTGTAAAACATCTATTTATATTCTCTAAAGGTCACATATTCAACACTTTTTGCACCATTTTTACTAAAACACACACATTTGTATAATAAATAAAGGTAATTACGATCTCTGTCTTCAGAGGGTTTTATTTTCCAAGCCGACGGGGTACTTATGCAATATTCAAACAGTTGTGTATCCCAAATCGAAGGTATCAAGCAACTTACGTGTTTATTTGAAAGATCCACTATATACGCTATTGCTCATAAACTGTAGCAAATTCGTGAATTTTTTTCCTAAAAAGCAATATGTAGCTCATTTTAAAGTAGACTTATAGAAAACCCATGCTTGATGGAAGGACAATTGTTGCGTAGAAATATTTTCAAGATAACAAAGTATTGACATACAAATAACAAATGAAATAATTTACAAGAGTTTTAAATTGAATAATCCAAATAATTGAACATAAAGATATATTTTCTTAAAAAATCAATACAGAAAAATCAATACGATACCCTGTATCAAACAAAGAAGTCATCTTCCAAAGTTAAAGCGTTTTAAAATAAAACATTCTGTATGTCAATGGGTTTTTATTCGTTCAATATTCGCATTTATTTTTCATGGCATCCAATGTCACCCAACCAATTTTGTATGCATCGGTCAAAAATTGCTGTCATGCATACCAAATTAATGTCTTTTATTTATGATTTTTTGAAGGACCGCACGGTATACTGAATTTAATATATATAAAATATCTTTCATACAAAAATGAAATCATATTTTTTATCAAATAAATTTTTTTATACACATTTATCACTGTGAATTTCAATATTTTGACACGCTGTATTGTACACTGTACAGTGTTTTTTTTCAGGTAGAAATTGATTGGCGTTATTGGCGAAATTGAAACTGATTAAAACATATTAAAACTACTGAAATATTTATAAATCAATATATACTTGTGTGGGATTTTTGAAACTATACTGATTAAATGTAACTGTGTCCACACCTTTTCAAAAATTTATTAACCTTAAGGACAAAATTAAAACTGTTTTACCACACATAAAACACACATAACATTAAATACTATATAGACTATAAATATATACATATATATATTTGTATATATATATATATATATATATATATATATT